GCTATTAAGACAAACGCAGAAAGCTCTAAAATCTAGTAGCTATGGCGTTTCTTCTTCCCAATCTCTCTCCTTCTTTCCTTCTTCAGACAGGAAAATCTTTCAAGGACAAACCCATTTCGAACCAAGCTTTATCATCATCATCATCTTCTTCTAAAACCCACGAATTCGAAGAAGATAGTACTCTCTCTCTACTTTCTCTTCCGGTCCAAGCTCCTCCTGTTCGAGGTTCGCAGGTTAAGACCAGACCTAGTGCTTCTGATAAGCAACAACATAGCAAAGATGAGTTCTACATCAACCTCGGTTTAGCTGTCCGAACTCTTCGTGAAGATTTGCCTTTACTCTTCACCAAAGACCTCAATTACGACATTTACAGGTTCTTAAAATGTGTCAAAGATAACAAATTTCAGATTTTGCAGTGATAAAATGTCAATTTCTTATGATTAGATTGTTTGGTTTTTCAGGGACGACATAACATTGGTGGATCCAATGAACACATTCACTGGAATTGAGAATTACAAATTGATCTTTTGGGCACTTAGATTTCATGGCAAGATTCTGTTTAGAGATATCTCACTTGAGATTTTCAGGGTTTGGCAACCATCAGAGAACATGATTCTCATTAGGTGGAATCTTAAAGGTGTACCTAGAGTTCCATGGGAGGCAAAAGGAGAGTTTCAGGGTACTTCTCGGTATAAACTCGATCGAAACGGCAAAATCTACGAGCATAAAGTCGATAACTTGGCTTTCAACTTCCCTCATCAGCTCAAACCTGCTACTGCTTCTGTTTTGGATTTGGTCACTGCTTGCCCTGCAAGTCCCAATCCAACTTTCATGTTTGGCAATGCGGATTCGTATTCGTCTTCTTGGATCGAGTTCTATAAAGCGGTGCGAAGAACATTAGACAAGCAAGAAGAGCAAATCCTTGTTCAAGACCATTTCGTTATATGTTCATAGAGCGATTGGGTCACAAACTCAAGGCTGTGTGTATATATACATATACTGTTGCATTGAAGATAATATATGCATGTATGTGCAGGCATATGCAGATGAGTAGATTTGGTTGACTTAGGTTTTCAGAAATCAAAGGGTAGGGAAACCAAGAACACTCGTATGTACCCATGAGCTTTGTACAACGAATGTAAACCGAATTTATTTATTACGGCTTCAATGTTATAACTTATTGGAGTTTCTTTGTCTTCAATAATCTGTAGAATACATGTAGCAGCAGAGTGAACATATAAATACTAATAATTCAGTTTACTTCTGAAAATGCCAAATTCTTAGTCTAATGGAAGCATCATGTTCTCCTTAACTTCCTTTGTATTTGAATATTTTATTAGCCGCTTAGAAGATGAAGTCATTGAGGAACCTTCCCTGGATAGTTTGTGGTCTCTGCAGAATCAGTCCCCAGCTTTCTACAAGTGGAAATTATAAGTTATATAACACAACACACTCTCAAATCTTACATGTGATTCTATTTGTATCTCATTGCCATTTTCTTACCCTTGATCCACAATGACCACTGATCGAAGCTCGCAGTTGGTAAAGCTATACAAAGTTAGAAATTTTGATTAGTAAAACAGTTTGTGCATTTCTTCTCAAGTTATTATTAATACAAGGTTGGTGCTTTAAGCTCTTACTGTGTAGACAACTCTTTCTTTATGTCATGGTGACAATCCTTTCCGAAAGAGCTTAAGGTGCCATGCAAGAAGCCACTATGAGATACAACCGCGATCTCTTTCTCTTTCCTCGTCCATAGCCTTCACAACAAAGCAAATGTGTGTTTCAGGATCTCCATTTGGAAATTAGTAACAAAAATGCACTCACCATTTGATGAACTCTACACCTCTGGCTGCAACTTCTTCCGGGGTCTCTCTTGGACTCGGCTTCCACAAAACATCCTCATCACTTTCAATCTAAAACCATAGAGGAAATTATAAAAACAAAAATCTTTCAAATCAAGCAATACAGGAGCCAATAAGAAGTTATTACAGCTGAGAAATCGATTGCGGGAAACAGAGCTTTGTACTCTGTGACGCTTCTTCGCCGGTCACAAGGATGATCATTCTGCATTCATAGAACAATCTTTAATAATGTGATAATGATTGATATTAGCTCTCATGTATATAAAGTTCTATGTACCATAGTTTCTCTGCATAGCTCAACAGCAAGGAAAGGCGGACTCTTTAAGCTTGAAATCGCAGGGTGATCGCTGTTCCCCGCGTTAGCCACCATTAGCGGCGCTGCATCGACTCCGTTGGTATCTTCCTCACCTCCAAAAGCACCAACAGCCGTCTGCAAAGTTCTACATTTGAAAAAACAAAAATAAAATATATCATATAAGAATTGAGTCTTACCAATTTCAGTTGGCTATAATCTTTTAAGCCAAAACAAACCTTTCATAACAAAACACTTTTTAAGGTCTGCAAAAAGGCAAATGCAAATAAAAATATTATTTGAGAACTAAAAAGTATGATAGTGAAAAGTTGTACCTAAGCAAAGGGGAAACAATGACAAGTTCAATTTTGTTTGGGAGTTGAGTGGCTAAAACATGGTTGCGTAAATTCTTCACCTGCCATATAGACAACAAATGATGACAACAAAGGATCATTGGTAGAGAGACCAGAAGATAGATTTGTATATATACCTGTTGCCAACCAAGAGGTGTGAGATGAGCATCAAAATAGTCCTCAGAAGAATAAGCACTATGGTCTTTTTCTCCAGCCACATTATGTATACCTTGAGCATGTCTTACCTAACAAACAAACAAAAACCGCATCAGAAACTTGGGAGAGAGAATATGAACCACTCGTATATTTTGGACTTTTGTACGGACCAGGTGAATGGTTTTGCAACGATGAAGTGGGTAAAGACCTAAACCTTCCTCCATGGCTTCGAAACAAGTATCTTAAAACCAAAAGAACATTAGATCCAATGAACTAATCCCAAGACATAAGATGCAAAAGGGTTTACTTTTCTCAAACCAAACAAAAAAAAAATTGCAAAAGGTGTTAAATCAGAGTGTGTTTACCTTGGAAATTGAATAAGAGATCCGAAACCGCCGGATTCTCCACTTTCTACGGAGTATATAATTTATCTTTGTTGTAAAAGAACTAAAGAAGAGACGAGTGAAAGATATAAATATAATAATACTGCGGAGCAATTCCATTTTTCCCATTGGTTAATTAGGAAGATGAAAAAAGTAGATTCTTTTGAAAAATTATCCCACTTCTAGAAGATAAAAAGTGTCTTTTTCACATTCTTTGAACTTTTTCGTTAAGTTCATTTGAAATTACATTAATCACGAAAACAACAAAACATTGTAGAAAGATTTAGACCGTGTAATGCTAACATTTAGACGTGTTCATTACGGATCAGAGTCGGATAAGATAAGAATATATAGGATATCAAAATTACTAAATTGGGTAATTTAAAGATAAAATACGGATAATAACAGATACAGATATGTTGTTGAC